CTAACCAATGATGAAGTGACAATCAACATTCTTTGAGTTGTTTCTTGGGAGAAGCTGCAACTTCGGAGATAAGTGTATACATTTTACACATTTTGTCATAATTTCAAAGACGTGTAGAATAAGTGATATAAATAAATAAACTTATATTCAAAATGGCGGGTGTTTATCCGCTTATGTTTACGTTTTTGATGGCTCCAGTTCGCAAGGGTAAAGTTTGCACGATTAACACTAACTTGTATATGTAGACTATACAATTATGTAAACAATTTGAAGAAAAAAAAAACTTGTATTTCGTTTAGGTGAATCGTGTAATACAAACACTTGTTTTAGTTTTTATGGTTACGACTCGTTTTAGTCTTAGAAGTGTTACAACTCAATCGATAAGACCATTTTCGCATGTCCGTCCCTAGAAGCATGGAAAATATCTGTTTTTTTCACTCTTATACAATTTCATACACTCAACCTTCTTTTTTTTTTTTCTTATTGAAAGTAACTTCTTCTTCTTTCGGATAATAGATATTTTATATAATTTGAGAAATTACAAGGCATTTGATCGATCAACTCCTTTGCTGGTCTTGACCACTTAGCTCGTTTCTGGAAGAAGTTCTCATAGATACTGCCTTTGAAATTCTTGTAGTATATAGTCAGAGCCATTCTTAAAGTTACATAGGCTAGAGACGAAACTAAAAAAGACTTTGATTTATATAAAACATATGATTTTCGTAAATAATCATGTTATGTATAAAGTCTTTCTGATAACTATAATATACAATCACAAAATCTCAATGCTAAAAGCTAATCAATTATGCGTAAAAACTTTACAATTTTTATCTAATTAATCTAATCCAAATCTCAAATCAAACATTCTTAAAATTCATAATAACAAAATTATTATATAAAAGAAGTTTACTTGTGAATTGTCATTGTTGCTTTTAAATAATGGAAAAAATTAATGAATGTCCCATAAGCTCATGTTGACTAAGTCAATGTTTGGGAAATTCCAGTTGTACTATGTACAAATTTTATCTTAGTTGTATCAAAAAAAACTAGTTGTACCAAATAATACCTAATTGTACAATTTCCTTATAGTTATACCAAGTAATATCTAGTTATACCATGATATTACTTGGTACAACTAATTGTACTAAATAATAATACTTAAGTTGTATCATGGTACAATTAGTTGTACCAAACAGGAATATTTCAGACAATAGAGAAGTACACCAGAAAGGAGTAGACACATATTGGAGTATCTTAGACATTTGTCTTGAAAAAATGTTGTATGATTTGATGGGGAATAAGTGACCGAAGTTAGAAAAAAATGAAGGTGGTTATAAGACTCGTTTGTGACACACAAAAAAAAAAAAAGGTTATAAAACTCGTTAATATCAAAGTAGGCAACTACCCGCCTTCATTTCTAAAACAAATTGAGAGCCTTGAATTTTTTTTATAAAACAAAAAAAAAATCGGAGGCGAAGGCCTCATATTGTTCCATGTAGGCACGCCCCTGTATATAGTCTTCTTTATACAAATTACAAAATGTTGGACTAGTACTCTTTTTCAAATTGTTTTTTTTTTTNTTTCATTTTATTAAAAAAGTACTAGTGTAAATATTACATTCCATTTTGTCAAATCATATAAATTTTAATATTAATAATCTCTAATTTCCTTGTTCTAGAAAGCAATATGCGTGAGAGAAAGAAAAAAATTGTCATGTTATTACTCTTGACACACCTTTTTTTTTTTATGATTCTTGACACACCTTTGTGGACTATACCAACACTTTTTCAGAAACAATTTCTTTAAAAAAAATACTTGTCGGTTCAAAATAAGGAAATATTTCTGGGTGTGGAATATGATCATAGATTATATAAAATCATATACAAATCAAATTGAAAACCATATTTCATGTCTTCTTATTTAATGTGGGGTTACAAAGGAGCCAAAATATTTTGAGAAAGACAAGAACAGTATGCGCATTATCTCGTGTTACACGGACAAAAGCAATAATCAAATCACCCTTAAAATATGCCCCAATAATAAAGGAAAATGGACCCACCAAATACCATTCTCTTTGTGAGTGCTTGTCAAAATCACAAAGTATTCAAATCTTTCATTTGTCTGAATTCAGAAATATGAACCACTTCACGTAAAGTTTACAAAAGGCACTAAGACAAAACTGCACACGTATCTTTAACCCCACCATTGAATCTCTCACCATTTTCATTTCCTTATGCTCTAAACAAACAGTAGCTTCATCTTCAGGCAAAGGAAGAACCTTTTGGAAAGATGGTTCAACCTGAAACTCGATTCGGGCAAGAACATCTCAAGATCCTTGGACCAGAGATGATGATGATGAAGAGAACAAAACCTAGGAAGAAGCTTAAAGACAATACTGTTTCTCAATCAGGTAAGTCACAAGCACCACAAAAACATGATCTTGTTGTTAAAGTAGCAGTTGGTTCTGGTTCACCTAATTACATGAAAGGAACCACTAGCTCTGAGGCAAGGAAAGAGAAGAAGATGAAAAGACTTAATCTTTCTAGGAACCAGAAGAACCAAACCGGTCTAAAACATGATTCTCGTTATGGAGTTAACAAGCCGAGTTTTAGGGGTTTTACAAAGGCTCTGAGTTTCAAGAGATGCTCACAGAGAGCTACTTGTTCTTCGACTCTAAAAGATTCGAAGTTTCCGGAGTATCTGATGCTTAAACATGGCGAGACTCATGATGAAGTTAATGGAACCTCTGTTTTGAAAGTATGTCCTTACAAGTATTGTTCACTCAACGGCCATCTTCACTCTGTGCATCCTCCTCTGAAAAGCTTTATTTCCTCGAGGAGACAGAGTTTGAAGTCTCAAAAGTGTGTGAAAATGGATGCTTGTAAGGAAGATTTTGTGGAGATGGATCTAGAGGAGAAGAAAGAGTGTGAGAATGGAAATGAAGGGACTTTTGAGGTTGATATTGAGACACAAATCTCGGAAACTGTCTCTGAAGGAGCACCTAGTTCGGAAATCGATTCTGATGAGTACTCTGATAGTGCAGAGATGGTGAGGGTTTCAGAAGGTGGAGTTGAATTAAAAGAATCTTATTTGGAGGAGACTCTAGTTGCTGAGAAGATCCAAGAGACTTCTTGTGAGGTTGATGCTGTTACTCAAATGTCGGAAACTGTCACTGAAGGAGCACCTTG